CCCGGGGCATCGGCGACCTGCTGCCTCCCCTTTGATGCCTGCATATCAGACATAGCCATGCCAAAGAAAGAATTTCATTTTGAAGTGGCATCAGCTAAAGGCGAGCGCCTTTCAGCTGCCTGACCGTGAAAAAACAAACAAACAAACAAAAAAATCACTATGCTTTTTTTTTTTTTAAAGATTAAAAAAAAAATTAAAGAAAGAGGCTTCTCCCAGGTTTGCTTCCCTGCATCGGTGCATCCCGGGTTGTCCTGGAGGCTGAAGGCCGTGAGGGTGTTACGAGGCTCAGCAGCATGTGCGCAAATGCCTCTTGGATTTAGGTCATTCTCGTTGTAGAAGTCTCCAACTGCTTTGCTGCGTTCCTGCTGCTTTATGGATCTGTTTATTTTGGTGCTTATTTTTGCATTGTGTTTAAATGAGGAAATGAAAGCTTCTGCCCTGCGGAGGCAGAGGCACCTGCTTTTCCCTAGGTGCTGCGAGGGGAGTGGTTGTCCTGACGCGTACACGGCCTTTGGGAGGTTTGCCTTTGCTTTGGTTTTCCTGCCCTGGTGCCAGGCTGCGGGTTGGTGAGATCCTACATGGGGTGTTCTGCTGAGAAACTGTAAAAAAAAAAAAAAAACAACCCTGTTGTTTTTTTTTAAAAAAATCATAGTATTTCAATTTTGCAAATTGTATAAGAATCTAAACTGTGGATATCAACCAGCTGATGGTAAAAGTGATGTATAAACCAAAATATTCATGGATGCAGCAGCTTACTCAGTGGAGCACACCTAAACTTGTGCATCTAACACAAACTGAGGGCAGGGGCTGAGGGTTTCCCTCCCCGTGTGTTTATGTCCCTCTGTCCCACACGGGTGGCAGACTGCTGTACAGCCTCGTGTGATCAGAGAGGCATTTAGCAAAATTCTCGATCTGAAATTGTTTAAAAATAGGAAAAGACAACAAAATTGTCAGGGAAACCAGAATCAGGTCCCTTTCTAGTTTCCAGCTGATAAGCAGCGGTGATTTTTTTCCCACCCCTTCAATTTGTGCTGGGTTTTGCCGGTGATAATCAGACTCTTCACTGCCCCTGCCAAGAGGGAGAGGGGTTGCTTTTGGGAAGCTGCGAGTTAAGTGCTGGTGCGGAGACAC